CAATATTGTTTTTGCTTTCTTTGTATAAATACCCATAAGTGGAATTGCTGGATCATATGGTAGCTCTATTTTTTTTTTTAAGAAAACTTCATACTGTTTTCCAGTGGCTGCACCAGTTTGCATTCCCACCAACCGTGCACAAGGGCTCCCACATCCTCACCAAGACTTGTTATTTCTTGTGTTTTTGATAAAAGCCATTCTGACAGGTCTGAGGTGACAGCTCACTGAGATTTTGATAAGGCAGCATATAGAAGAATCTTGCTTTTCATATCCATTGAGCCACACTCTGTCTTTTGATTGTAGACTAGTTCATTTACACTTCAAGTAATTATTGATTAAGTATGGATTTACTGTCATCTTGTTAATTGCTTTCTGGCTATTTTTGTTACTCATCTCTGTTCTTTTCTTGGTTTGTTCCTTTGTGTTTATTTTCTTAACATTTAGATTCCTTTGTCTTTTACTTTTGTGTTCTTAACTCTAAGTTTTTTATTTGTGGTTACTGTAAGGTTCACATACAAGACATATTTAACAGTCTCCTTTAAGTTGGCAGTAAGTTAATTTTGAACATATTCCAAAGCTTTATATTTTTACTCCCCTCCTGTGCATTTTATATCTTTGATGACACATTTTACATCTTTTTGTGTTATTTATCCCTTAACTAATTATTGCAGTTTTAACTAATTTTACTACTTTTGTCTTTTACCCTTTATACTCACTTTGTAAGGTGTCAATCAGTATCTTGATGACTTGTCTTTTCCAGTTCAGTTTTCAACTTCATGTATTTTCCTACTAGCATTTGTGCCTTTCTCTTTTTAGCTTAGATGACCCTCTTTAACATTCCCTATGTGTATAGTCGGGTTCAGTGGTGATGAACTACTTTAGCTTCTGTCTCCGGGAAAACTCTTAATCTTGTCTTCAACTCTGAATGGGTCGGGAGTCTTCCCTTCAGCACTTTGCATCTATTGTGCAGTGCACGACCTTCTGACCTGTAACCTTCCTGCTGAGAAACCTGCGGGTAACCTTATAATGGTTCCCTTTCATACAAGTGTGTTGCTTTTCTCTGGCTTTTAATATCTTCTCTTTATTATTAATTCTTACCATTTTAATTATAATGTGTCTCAGTGTGTTTCTCTTTGGGTTCATCTTTTCTCTTTTTTCAAAAGATTTGTTTATTTGAGAGAGAGAGCAGAGGGAGGAACAGAAGGAGAGAATCTTCAAGCAGACTTCCCGCTGAGTGTGGAGCCTGATGTGGGGCTCGATCCCACATCCCATGAGATCACGACCTGAACCCAAACCAAGAGCTTGTCGCTCAACTGACTGAGCCACCCAGGCATCCCTGGGTTCCCCTTGTCTGGAACTCTCTGGGTTTTCTGGACTTGGATATTTGTTTCCTTCCTGGAATTAGGAAAAGTTTTCTGCCATCATTTCTTCGAGAATTTTTCTGGCCCTTCCTCCCCTCCTCCTTCTGGGACTCCTATCATGAAAATGTTATTCTGCTTCATACTGTCCTGGAGGTCCCTTAAGGCGTCCTGTCTTTTTGAAAATTCTTTTTTGCTTTCATTTTCCTGCTGTGATTGGGTGTTTTCCATTGCTCTCTTTCTGGTTCACTGACTCGTGCTTCTATTCCATCCGTTCTGCTGTTGAACCCCTACAGGGTTATTTCTCAGTGCCGTTTTAACTTCTGCTCAGTTATTTTCTTCTATTTTTCTATCTCTTTGTTGAAATTCCTGCTGTGCTCATCCGTTCTTCCACCAAGATCAGTGAACATCTTTATGGCCATTACTATAAATTCTTTATTAAGGGTGTTGTTTATCTCAGTTTCATTAAGGTCTTTCTCTGAGAATTTCTCTTATTGTTTGGTTTGGAATAAACTTTTCTCTCTGCTCATTTTGTTTCTCTTTATTTCTCTCTCTATATTGGGTGAAACGGCGACCCGTCTTGGTCTTGAAAGGATGGTCTTATGGAGGAATTGTTGCATGGGATCCAGAAGCACCACCTCCCTTGGCCACCAGAACCAGGCACTCTATGGGCTGCATGACTATGCTGACTCAGACAGAGCCACAGCTGCTGTGCAGGGAGATCGGGGCTTACATTGCTGACCCATCCCAGTTGTGCACAGGGTGGCTGGGGTCCAGGGCATTCAGGTCCTGGCTGTGCCTTGACTGCTGCATGGGGAAGATGGGTTCCTGGTACGTGCCTGGCCTTGCTGCAGCTCTGACAATGTCCAGGGTGAGTGGAACATGGGGTGCTTCCCCCAGTCTGGTTATATGACGGGGAGGGCAGACCACGCCCTCTGTGCATTAGCCAGAGAGAGGGCACCGAAAATGGCACCCATGTTCCATCACCAGGAAGTTAGGATGAGTGGCAAAAATGGCATGCACCAGCACCTCCAGCCCTGGATAAAATCCTCACACGTTCTCGCCTCCCTGGCAGTCATTTTAAAATTAGTAAACGGATCTTCCCCGCTTATGGTCTAGGTACTTTTCAGTCTGTTCCTCTTGTGCTAGATCTCAGTGTGAGTGGGTTTGCAGTGAGCCTTCTTCAAGTGGGGTATATGTTCCTTATAGTTCGATGTTTCTCCTGGTCTTCATCCCCATTTATTTTTAAAATCAGATATTTAGCAGGCTCATCTTTCTGGTGCTAGCACTCAAGGTCAGAGTGCCTGACATGGGGAACAAGCTCTTTACTCCTTGAGGGAGATTCCAAATTTTGGGGATCCCTCCCATTGTGAGATCACTGCATCTGTGGTAGGGTTCCAGGAAGGATGTGTCTCTGCTTCTCCTGTCCTTCTCAAAGTCTCTTCTGTCTTTTGTTGTGGAAATGCTAGTCATCTAGTTCTCAGGGGTTTTTGTTTGTTTACAGAGGAAAATTACATATGTAGCTATAAATCTGTTGTATATAAAGGAAGGGGTTGTCTTTAGGGTCTTCCTAAGCTTGAACCACCACCCCTGCTTCCTAGACTAGAATTTATTGTTGTGCATGTTACCCATAACAGTCATTCCTTCATAAGGACTATCCCAAAAAGGGATGCCTTGAGCCTGGCCGTGAGCTCAAGGAGGACATCTCTCCTTTCCTGCAGTCCCTTCTCTGAAGAGCTCAGAGGGACATAAAGACTAAAACTTCAAGGTCTTGCTCTCACAATTTTATGACCTACCTGTTGAATAGAATACATATAATTGAACCTTTAGTGAGAAAGAAGATTTCTGGAGCTGTGAAGGACACTCTGAGAAGGAGTAATCGTGGTGGGCAAAAGTGGTCAAGGAAAGTTTTGTGAAAAGCTGAATTTGCCAGATTGTGTTAGCTTTGGTAGGCGGCAAAAGAGGGAAACACAGAAGGAGACTTTCCTGAGAACAGACAATGGAGACTGAGCCAGAGGCAACACATGCATAAATTGAGACCATTTCAAAAGCGAGAGGTAGAGAAAGAAAAGGCAGAATCCCTGCCCCTATTGTGTTTGCCATCTGGCTAGGAAGCTTTCAACTTAATGAGCAGGTTAAAACCCAGCATGGTTCCACACAGAGAGCAGCCTAAGAAGTACTTTGTAATGATGATCAAAAATACTTACCATATTAATTACCAAAATAAAATGATTGCCCTAAAGATCCTGAATGTAAAATCAATATACACGATGAAAGATTTCTCTTTTGAAATAAATGTCACCAAAGGAGGATAAGCATCTTTCCTTTAAGCTAGTGTTACTGTGTTTTAAAAAATATGGTAGGAAGAGAGTTCCTTAAAAATGCTGTGAAATGCCCATAGAAATCCGTTGGAGGAACCACAGGAGTTCAACCTGACTTCACAGGAAGACTTACCTCACAAGATAGCTTCATTTCACATTTCACAGTAATAAAAAGTTTGTTACTGAGATGTAAGATTAAAGGTGAACATGAGGGGAGCAAATACTAACAGTGAAACCCACAGAGGGGTACAAAGTCCTTCACATGCGAAATCCTTCACTGTGTCACCCAGCATCACGCTCAGCAATGTACGAGCAAAAGACTCTTGTGAGAACTTCCAGCACTACAGTTAGGCTTCTCTATTTAGATAGAAGCATAATTCACTGTGGTATTTGCTGCATGTATCTTATCAGCATTTCTGATTATAGAAGAATCCAAAATTATGAAGTTACCTCAGGTTTCGGATAAAACATGGACTATGCAGCCATCATCGCGTCAGACATCGGAGCCCTGTGGCACTCTAGTCAGGCATTCTCCGATGGCATTAGGCCACTCCAGGCAAGCTCATGTGTGAAAAAACAGCAGTGGCCTCAACAGCATGTTTCTAAAGTCAGCTTTCTCGGAATTCTAACCAGATTCTCTAAATGAACACACACACACACACACGCACACTCATCTCCTTTTTCCTGCTGTTTTAACTTGCCAAAGAATAGAGGTATATGAACCAAGTCTTATTAATATTAATATATACTTTGCTATTTTGCTCCCTGAACACTGTCACTTTGTTATACTAAATTAAAGCCCTGACAGAAACACCCAATTAATTTCTCTAAGAAAATGCATTATTGTGTCATAGTTAATAAGCAGTTCAATCCCACCTTGATCATTCTTCTGACCGGTTCAGTCCGTGGCAAGTTATGGTTAGAACCCAAATGTCTAATATTAGTTCCCTTCGTGATTGCTCACACAGGAGTTAAAAATGGATACTCATTCTCCCTTAAGATGTACAGATAATCGATTCTCTTTTACTGGGAAGGAAATGCCGAGATGGCAAGGAGAAATCTGAGTCTTCGACTAAATGTTATCATAAAAGGAATCTCTGGGATTCAGTCATAACCACAGAGTCTGATGTTAAGCTCCAAGCTAGTTCCCATGCCCTGCTTATCAAACCCCCCAGAGTATCTGAACCCCAAATAGAAGTGCCCCATGATGAAAGGAAGCATCCTCTGGTCAAGGTAGCTGAATTGTGAAAACTTCCTTAGGCCACAGGCTGCCTGTAGGAACCTTCGCTAAGCTGAGAGGCATCAGGTGCAAGGATCCTACCTTAATGAGGACCTGAATGGAGCCTGTAGCTTTTGCAGATATGAAATACCAGAAGCTTAGGGTGCAGGCAGCGCTGGATTCTTGCCACACAGCACTCCTGAAGTGTGCTTCTTCGCCCCGAAGGCCCATCGGAGTGGCCTCCAGGTACAAGAAGTGCCCTAGGAAGGAGGACAGCGTTCAGATACGACAGAAACAACGAGGGGATTATTTTAGCTTTTCCATCTTAGTTAGGGGTTTTAACTATAGTTCATAGAATATGAGCTGCCAAAGGCATTTGCATTTGAAACAGAAAGAAAATCGAATAGCCTTGCTTCTAGCTCACGGACAGAACAATTTCCAACTGTCTGTGCTTTGAGCAAAGTACCTCACAGTATGCAGATTAACTGATGTGACAGGATATTTATGTCACCGAGTCAACAACATAGTTATAGATATCATTTAACAGACTCACTATACCTTCCAGTTCTTGTAAAACAATGCAAAGATATTATCTATGAAAAATAAAGGAATTACAATGTACTTCCAAAAATGCAGTCATCTACTGAGAGCAAAAATAAAATGCTGAGAATCTTAATATGTTACATGGAAGACCCTGAGTTTTATATTTATGTATCCAAATATTTGAAACATTTTTTACATGTACAGAGGGGTGTCTGCACGGAGCTCAGACCTTCCTTTCTCTGGTGTGGTCAGTTTGGCTTGAGGGTTTTGCTATATCATAGGCATGAGGAGTTGCTACTCTTAGACACCTTCTTTCCTATTCTGAAGCTTCCAGGAATTCAGGGTCCTTGCTTTATTCTGCTGACATCCTTTGTCCTTTGACCAAGGAGTCTGAGACTAGACCTCATCTACTCACTGCAAAAATGAGGCATTCTAACACATCTGACAGGTGTGACCTTATAGTTAATTTGCATGTTACCATCTACAGCTTCCAAACCTGCTTTCCCTTCACACGTATCATCTCATTTCTCTAATCCCTGCTTGGGACACAGGGAAAACTGGATCCTCTCCATTTGTGGATGAGAAATTTGACAATCTGAAAAGCTACAGGACATGTGAATGATCCAATGAGTGGCAGAATTCAGGGTTATTAATTATAAAGATGGGTCACTGAGGAAAGGTGCCTGATGGCAGCATACATTATCATCTATCTACAATGATCAGAAGAACACTAAACTTTGGTTACTCCCTGTTGTGTGTTGAATTGTGTCTCCCCGCCCAACCCCACAAAAATGGTGAAGTCCTAATTCCAGTCCCTGTGAAAGTGACCTTATTTGGATCTTTATGGACAATCAAATTAAAATGAAATTATCAGGGTAGGCCCCTGTCCGGTAATGAAAAGGGTAAATTTGGACACAGAGACAGACATGCATAGAGGTAAGACAATGTAAAGACATAAGAGAATGCCACCTATAAGCCAAGTAACGTGTGAGACCACCAGAAGCTCGGAGAGAGGCACGGAATAGGTGACTCTCCCTGACAGCCCTCAAAAGGAACCAGTTCTGCTGACAACTTGATTTTGCTCATCTACGTTCTAGCACTGTGAGAAAATGTCTGTGGTTTACATCTCTGGTACTTTGTGATGGCAGCGCCAGGAGACAAATACACTCCTCAAACGTTGGACTTGCCTGCCATGACCCCACGCTTGTCTCTCCGGAGCTCTCCAGTAGCTATCCAGGAGGACAACAAGATGACAACACTGTGACTATGATGAGGAAAACCTACCGTTTCTGTTTCCAAGTGTGTGGTCCTCGGGAGGTCGTAGGCTCTGATGAGAGCCAACTCCCAAAGCCCAATCAGAGTTTTCAGCTAGGGAGTTTTGCCAGCCACACCAGCCTTTCTCAAAAGTACAGGAGGTACCACATTCATTTTCATCCGTGTCATCTCCACAGTCATCTACAAAATTACAGATTTGCTCTGGTTTATAACATTTGCCATTTTGACATTCCCGATAGCCAGGGGGGCAGGAACCTAGAAAACAGAAAATAAACGAAGATGAGGAAACACTACTAACTCATCACAGAGCTTAAAAGCTAGTAAGAGTGATTTACTTTAACATATAAAGAAACATGGTGTTCTTAGGAGTATGAGTTATCTGACACCAATCTCTCTCTCCTGATCGTGTCCAGTGCTCTGGCCAACAGATCGCTTACTAGGATTATTCAAAATGAAAAACAAACAAACAAACAAACAAAAAACAAGTATCATCTTATTGATCTAGGAAAGTACCCCAAGTCTCCTCAAATACAGCATTTCCTGCAATCTAAGTTCAAGGATATAAATTAGATCTGAAAGCCAGTGAGGCCGTCCACTTTTTATCCTGAAACAAAATCTTTAGGATACTAAGAGCATATGTATTATGGTGTATTTGGAAGCACATTCCATTACCACCCATGCATTTCAATATTTATCAGAAACCAAATACATACATATGTGTGTGTGTGTGTGTGTGTGTGTGTGTGTGTGTGTGTGTGTGTATTTGGTACTTCCAAAGAAGCAGGGATATGAATATATAAGTAATATTCAACTTTATAACAGATTTTTCTCTAAAAAGCATATATATCTGTCAATTGCTTAGAATTTTAGAAATAATTTCCCTACAAAGAAATGTCAACAATAGTTTTATTTTTTGCTGATTTTTCTTTTCCTCCAGAAAGCTTAAAATAAAGAGCAATGTTTCCAAAGACCTGAGTTTGAACCCTGGTATTGATCCTCCTCAGCTATGAGACTTGCATCATCCTATCCTTGATGAATTTAGTTTCTCTATCTAAAAAAAGAAAAAAGAATAGTACAACCTACAGAAGTTAAGCTAATTAAGAGTGACTACTGTTGATATCCCCAGTGCCTAGAACAGAGCTTGGCCATTAGTAGGTGATCAGAAAATACTAGTCAAATACATGAATGAGTGAAATACAGTGTTCTGGGAATGGTAAACCAGTTCAGTGTGTATGCTTAAGATATTATAATTATCCTGCTCCAATATTACAATAGGGTGTAACACCAGGGTAACAATATTTTAGTAGAAGAAGTCATTCAAAGATCCAATTTAGGATTATCCACTCCTTAGTTGCTGTGACTCTACAGTATCAGAAATTTTCTCCCTTTCTGTCTTCCCCATCTGGTATGTACAGAAACTGATAATGCCTCCCTATTTTATTTCTGCGTGGTAGCTTCAATGGCCTGAGGTTGTCTGGGAGCTAAGGACAGGTGTGGATTGGATCTGGGGGTGATACAGGGATTCACTAGATTGTGTTCTGGTTGCTGAAAACTGCTGACAAAATCTCATAAAGAAGCTTTCATGTCCTGGATCAGTCCCATATTTTAGAAAATAGATGGCTAAGAGGGAAGAAGTGGGAGGACATGGATGGGATGCCATGTAGAAACCACTGGGAAGAAGACTAGTGTTCTGAAGGCTTCTAGCCATTTTGTGTGCTAAGCTGTTTCTGGACTGTTTGTTCAAAATTGCCTAATTAAATGGCCTTTACATTTGCAAAGCCTTTGAAAATAAGTTTCAACCATGCATTCTGCCTCTAACAAAACTTTCTTGTCCGGGTTAATTGCTAACATTTTCCTTTCTTCCAGCGTGGGATTAAACTATTTTTATTTCTGCCCAGTTCAGTTTTAGCAGATTGGGGGTAAGACAAAAGGCCTTTAATGTTTCATTCACAGAGCCTGATTCAGAATCATAACATTAAAGCAATTCTGAACTACACAGAAATGAAGAGCATGTCCATTATCCTTCATTTATAGATGAAAAATAAATGATTATAGATGTTAAGCAACTTGATTTTTCAAGAGTAGAGATGTAATTTGGACCCAGGTCTATTGTCTTCTGAACTTTTTTTTTTTTTTTTTTTAATCTATTGAAAAAAAGAAGAGCAGTGATCCAGGTCAACTAACACCAAACCAGACCACCAAGAAACAAAAATGGTAGTGTTGACTACCAGGTGCATTATTTCTCATGGGACTGTTGAGAACCTGCAAAATTACTAGATCATTTAATTTTACACAAGTTGGCACTTGTATTGATTCTGTCAATTCCAACTTGTTTGGGGAGTAAAAACAAAACTGGTTCTTAAGATACTGTTCTCCAAAGATAAACCATAAGAGACTCTTAATCCCACAAAACAAACTGAGGGTTGCCGGGAGTAGGAGGGTGGGGAGAGGGTGTTTGGGTTATGGACATTGGGGAAGGTATGTGCTATGGTGAGTGCTGTGAAGTGTGTAAATCTGGCGATTCACAGACCTGTACCCCTAGGGCTAATAACACATTATATGTTAATAAAAAATTTAAAAAAATTAAAAATTAAATTATATCTCTAAGGAGGTCACTTAGACGGTACCAATAAAAAGAGAAGTGCCTTTAAAAAAAAAAAAAAGATGCTTTTCTCCAAAGAGACTGCATCAAACCAAAATTTAATTCTTTTAAAACAAGAAAGTAATTTGAACATGTTTCTAAATGGAAACACATCACAGATCCCAATATATTATACAACAGATATAGCCAATATTTTAGAATAATCATAATTTTTAAAAATTTCTAAAACATATGTAGCTACATAATTCAAAAAAACATAACAACTTAAATATTACATTAGATTATTTTGAACAGAAAGCCCTTCACATTAATAAAAACAATTTCATTGCTATCATGTGTTCCTACCCATAAAACATTTTGCCAAATATCAAGGAAAATTATCAACAATGTTGATAGTGTTATTTACCTATCTCCAAATTATTTCCCATGTCTGTTGTTCTGTCCAAAGAAACCAGCTACTAAGGGGGAGGGTGTATATATTTAAGTGATTCTGATATTAAAGCTTTTATGACATTATTATCACTTTGATTTTTAGTAAAAAATATATTATTCAAATTAGACAGAGACCTTTTTCCTGGGCAGTTTATTTTTGCAAAAAGGAACAAATGATGAAAGTGAAAAACCTCCAATGCAAATAAATCTTGGAGACATCTGAAGCTTAACTTACTGGAATGAAAACTGATTCTTTGCCTCCAAACTCTTCCAGGGAAGAGCCTTCCTCAACTGTGTTTATGGCAACTCTATAACCCCAGCTACTCGGAGGAAAAACAAATCTTAGAAGGAGCTCAGTATGGTAGGGTCTAGCTCCACGTTTTGATGTCTGACTGGATTGCTGACAGTGCTTCCTTTGTGTTCCACATCCAGAAACCCAGCACAATAGCCCAGGTGCTTCCCTTACTGGCAGGCAGTTCAAACCATGCGTGTCCTTATCTGTGCATGGAAATTCTCACCCCAGTCCCACCATCCAACCACCAGAAAACTCCGAATCAATTTCCTTTCCTTGTTCTCTAAAACTGCTTTTGGACATGGCTTGGAACTACCCTGTTGTCCCAGAAGACCTCATTATGTGAGTAATGGACATTTTCAACCCTTTGAGTTTATAATCAATATTGTCAGTCTTAGCATCCAAAACAAATTTTGGCCGAAGGTGGGCCAATCCTCAGTTCCAAGGTGGGCACATTTGTGTGTGTATAAAACTTTTTATTTCATAACATATGTAATTTTTCACTGTTACTATTTTGGTCTAAGAAACATCATTTTATGTGATTTTATTATAATGCTTTCCTTTCTGATTTCTGTGCCTTACCCTTGACCCCTTATGGTCCATTAAACAAAATAAAACCATGTGGTATTTTAACATAATTGAATACCACTCCTCTATCTCAAATTCTATTTATATTTAAATATTATTCCCCATTACAAGGAGCCAGATCTCTGAGTAAATAGTCTGTTTGGAACTAAGAACAAAGAATTTCGAGATGAACCTAGATTTTTTTTTTTTGTACCAGAAAATAATAAAGTGCTCAAAAAATTATAGCATTATGATGAAACGCTTAAAGGGGCAGCTTTTAGAGAAATTTACTGGCCAAATCAGAGACAACTTGAGTATCAAAATAAGTAATATGAAGACTTTTGCTCCCAGCATATACCCAGCAGGAAACAGTAATAAAGCATGAAATTATCCTTTAGCAATAAACAACTAGAAACGTAGGCAAAGTATATACAAGTGTCTTTAGAAACTGAACATCAGGAAATTGTGATCCCTTAGAGAAATGAAAAAATGCATACCCTATGATCACCCCTAGATATCTGTATGGAGGCACTTTCTGGACTATAACTGCAATAGGATAAGCCCAGCATTAAATGGAGTCACACACTGTAGAGGAGATAGTATGGGACAGCTGGAATTTTCAAGGCTGGGTGGTGGGGGAAAGAGTGCTATACAGAGAAGGAGATCCAGACATATGCTTAAGTCTTTGTTTAAATTCTAGTTTTTATATTTGTAGGATAAAAATCCAAAAAGAGAGACTGAGAACAACTTCTAAGAGACTAATAACTAGGAGTTATATGCTGAAAAATTGCCAGAGTTCACAGAGGGCCACATATCTTTGAGTTTCTATCAGCCAGAATGTGGAGTCCTTGGTGAATACACAGGGTGTTCAGTAACAACTCTAGAAGGGTACAATTTAGTATGGGCCAAAGTAACTCTAGAAGGAAGTAGAATCTAGACCGCGGATTGGATCGGCAATCTATCATTTTAGGACCAAATCTGGCCTACCACCTGTTTAAGTAAATAATGTTTTACTGGGACGTAGCCATGCCCACTTGTTTACACATTATCTATGGTTACTTTCACACTAAAATGGCAGTTAAGTAGTTGCAATCAAGACCATATGGCCTGCAAAGCTGAACATACTCACTCACTGAACATATTCTTTTAATCTCAACTTGTTTTTACACTAGATTACTTTAAAAACTAAAGTTTCCTGAGTTCAAGAAAAAAAAAATACAGAGGAAAATTTGCAAAGAGGCAAGTGATAAGGAAATACAAACTTCCAGTCATAAATAAAATAAGTCACAGGGATGGAAAGTGCCGCATAGGGAATATAATCAGCTATACTGTAATAACTTTATAAGGTGACTACAGCTATTG